TACGATAGGCATCGCTATGAGTCGCTTGGCCGCTGCACAGCGTCACCAGGAGAAAAAGGCGCGTTGAGCAATATTACTCTACGTAATTTATATCCTTATTAAGAAGCCATCAACTCGGAATGTCTGCGTTGGCACTTTAGCCGAACAGCCGGTGACTGTGCGTCGCAGCAGCAGATGAGTTTATCACTACAAATACAGCTACTTTATTCTGCTGCTTCCAGCACTGCTTCTTCACTTTGCACGCAAATCTGAAGAAAGTCATCATAAATCTTTGGCTTTTTCTCTCTCGCTAATTTTATTCATCAATTTCATTAGTATTCAATGCGTCGCCCGCTTGGCTACAGAAGCTTTCACGCCTTTTCGGGATTTGTTGCTACTCATCACATACTTACACATATACACGTACACACACATCGGTATGCACTCGTTTAATAGACTTGTGAAACACTGTAGCCTCCAGGGACTTAAACACCCGTTGCTTTTTATATTCTTTGTGAGGCTCGTGATTTTTAAATAGAGTATGTTAGAGTCGGATTTGCGCTTTTAACTGGAATAGCTTAGAAAAGTAAATGATATACAATACTTTTTCTTAGTAGCTAGAAATTCACACCTTCCAAAACCCCGTGTTAATCTAACTCACTTCTTAGATGTAAACGATCACTCAAAAATGGACAATCAGAGCGATTTTTATCAGATCTTCTGCCTCTTTTAGTAATGGTTATTCAGTTGATCGACGGTTGAACATAGCCATTCACACAAAGATTCTGTATACAATAATTAATCAATCATTGGCATAATTTCTGAAGTCGCTACGGTAGGAACGAGTGCGCTTGATAAGCTCTCTTCCTCCAGTATCACTATTCGAACCATGCTCAAAGTGAGTAATGAATCGTCAATTTTATTAGTCTTTTAAGCAAACCATTTTGTTCGATAAATAAGTCTCTCTATCTTTTTCAGTCTTTGAAAAGTGTCCAGAACACCTGAGTTAACTTTCAGCTGGGAGCGTAGCGTTCCCCTCTTTTATAACATCGAATCTCATGTGTCAGTTTTATTAGATATCTTCTTCGTCAGGTATCAAACCGCACTTTTAAGCAATAATCAAAAAACGTTTCCAAAAAGTTAAGGCGTTTGATACAAACCCTTTAAATTACTTTCAAAATATTTTGTAGCGCAATGGATTACGCAATTTTAGTATGGTCAAAAATGTTAGGTTAGGCTCGACAGCTGATCCGCAACTTAGGAATCACACTTGGACTACTGAAGACATCCTTTTGTGATGGCAGAAAACTCATATATTCTCATGTCTCGACAAAGTGACTTTTCCCATCGCAAGCCTGCTTACACGTATTTTTCCGCAAAATTCACCTGGAAGTCTGAAGGTGTAATATCCAAGGCGGTTCACTCTGGAATGAAGTATTAAGATGATTCTTCATCATCAACTTTTAAGCCACTTGTATAACTGCTGAAAGATCTTGTGGCTTTGCGAGTGCTTAGTATTTGACAAGTACTCGAAAAACTCACGTGAGGCCTATCCACTGAAAATTAAAACCCAAGAAAGCAGTGGATCTCCCACCTGTTCTTATTTCACTGATATTTAAACTGGAGTTCCTCTCTTGGAAGATTTTCAGCTTTAGAATATCCGGTTATACCGCTATGGCCTAGAAGCCCTACTAGCCTCATCATGTAATAAATCGATATAATTCTATTTTATGAGGCTGTAAATATCATAACCGAGCTCGATCGCACGGTGAGCTCAAGACTTGTATCGTTTCCCTGCTATTTTAGTGGATACCCACTGCTGTGTAGAAGGTTGCGAACTTAAGCAGTAGTTTCCCTGCTACCTTTATGGCAGCCACATCTATTTGAAACGCTGAAGTGTTCAAAAATACTGACCCTAATTTTGTTTTGTAGTTTCTGATAGTAAACTTCCAATTTTCCCTACAATCTTTAATACATCTGTAAAAGGCTTACTGGCCTACTACTCCTGAAGTGGCGCCATTCAGCCCAAACCTACTCCGATGGTAAGAACAGGGAGAAAGTACCATCTTTGTAAGGCTCCACGATTCGGTGATCCCGTGACCCGTAATGTAGTTAAAATGTACGAGGATTCCAGAATGCCCAAACTCGAAAACATCTATATACTTTCGGCTGTGTAAACACTCTCTGTAATAGGTTTACAGCGAGCCTCAAATGCCAGTTTCGCATTATTTCGCGTTAAAGAACCCTTTTATGCATGCACGTTGCCACATACAGCACATTTGCCACAGCAATGAGGCAGCAAGTGCAAATGCAATTAGTTGCGCTTTATTTGTATGGATAACATCACATTCCTCATTGACCCCACATCGCACATTTCTATGGCCACATATGCGCTTACCAATAAGGCTACCGCATTTTCTATTTAAACTGACATTAATCCATTTCAATTACGATTTATAATCGTTGCAGCGTTTCTGTTGTGCCTCCTTTGGTTGGTGACAGAATTCGCAGAGATTTGCCGCTGCCGCTGCGGCTGCTGTTTGCCAACTTCTCTGGCCACCTCGTTGTCTTAGCGCCTTTTGTTACTTTACAGCTTGCAACTTAGCCGTGTTGCTGCCCCGCAGCGGATCGCTCGACTTTCCTGTATTTGGCATTAAATTCTAATTAAACTTCCTGTCATTGCTGCGCATGTTTTATTGCTGTTTCCATGTTATTTTTGTTGTTGTTTGTATGCTCAGCATCTTTTTGCCTTTTAACGCCACGCGCAGTCGACGTCGTTTTGCCACTTTTCCAAAGCACTTTGCATCGCCGTCTCGGCAACGAACAATTGTTGCTAATGCACACAGCTGTTGACAACTTTTTGTCGCCGCAACTCGTCAGTCTGTGCAAATAAAATTTGTCGATCGCTTAATTGGTGTTTGTTGTGCGCGTTTACACATTTTTACAAGCACTGGAACATGTGTACTCGACTATTCAACTGACTTTTAAGCGCATGCGCTTTTTTCCACAATTGTATGTCTGTATGTTTGTATTAATTCGCATGAATGCAGATGTGGTTGTCTTCTTCTTGTTTTCTACTTCTTAAACTACTCAATCATACAACTTTTGCGCAGTCGTCTGCCATGCAAAGAATGCGGTTTGCAACAACTCTTCGCTATATTTGACGAATAAGTCCCCGAACGCACGCAAACTGAAGCACGAGCGTTGCTCGATAAGTCACAGACTGTGAGAAATGTTAACTTTGCATTGAATGTTAAATAGGTTTGTGTATATTGAAGGTTTGATTCGCTACTTCTCTGCTCGCTATGTAGAGTTTCACTTTCCTGTCAAGAAATTGAGCTGCTTCACTGCAGCTAAACTCAGAATTATAGTGAATGATCTTGTGAAAATCGACTATTCCAATTTCTTGGCAATAGAGATGAAGGTTTCACAAGAGTGGAATTATAGACTGTGGACTTAGAAACTAAAATAATCCTAGTTTTCATTTATTGCAGTTCAAAAAAGATTTCGGAGTTGTAACTGCAGTCGTTCGGATCCTGCTGCTGCTTCTGTGCTGCAAACATAGTTCAAAACCATTTCAATATTTAAAGAAAAACTTGAAATCATTGTTTTCTACAAGATTTGCAGTGTTTCAGCTGGTCTTTTGGTCTTGAAGTCACCAGCAAATATGATCAGTGTAAGAGTTCGACGTTCTCAGGTAGAGTTAAGCCTCTGCAGCTTTTTAGGCCGGTATTTCAGACGCGGAAAGGAAAACAACATATAAGCACCAAAGCAAAGTTAGCATATGACTTAAGATCGTCTTTATTTGAAATCGATTCCCTAGAGCTAAACATTTTTACTTCCATCTTTCCTCCTCTTTATACAATGTCCTATGTTTCTTTGAAGACCTTTTATGATGTAAATACATGGATACCTAATGTCTTACCATTAAATAACTGAATAAAAAATAAAATTAAAGGACTTATTCGACGGTCCTCGAACCACAATTTTTATTTCTTTTTGCATTGCATTTGACATTTATGAGCTTATCTCATCGTGTCGCTAAGTAGAATGGGGAATTTCAAATAAGTATAACTTTTTGTTGATGTTAAGAGAATCTAATTAAGCAAATATGATTTAAATGTGTTATGTCTCTTGTCGATCATTCGAGAATACCATTATCTCTAGGATATAATCGAAGTTACTTTGCCGAGCGTCTTTTTGTATATAACAAACTAGAGTGACGAGCTGAGTTGATTTATTCATGTTCGTTCGGCTGTCTGTTTATACTGGAACTACAAGTAGTACCGCAGTTTTTGGTAATCACCCTGAAATTTTGCACATGTCCGTTTCTCCTCAAGAAGCTACGTCATTGCTACCGAAATTAATGGTTTTTCTTGAGAAGGACTTTTAAGCTGCCTTTAAAATTCTTATATATTTTATAAAGACTGAGCTTGGACATCACTTATTGAGGCCACTATTAGACACCAAGATTAGTGACATATAGAGGAGTACATTTTTGTTTACAACTCATCTCTTATTCCGCCATCGCCAGACTAACCAACACAAGTGCACAGAACTGTGCATTAAATTGGATTCAGGGTGGTATTACCGACCAACTAATTCCACTATCAGAGACAATTTTGTTTTAGTTAGCACCACAAAACCTCAGTTTCAAACCAAGCTTACCTGCAAGTTGGCGGGTTAGAATAAGTAGCACATATTACTTTCTTTGTTCAAAGAGTTCGCGAACGGCCAACACGTTTCCATTTCCTTTACCGGAAAACAAAATTCTGGTATTATTATTTCCGGTCAATAACTCGTAGGTTCGAAACTCCAATAAACCAAAAGCAGAGAATGCTAATAAATATTTTTTTACACACTCTGTCTGAAAATTTGGGATTAGCCAAGTTCGGAACCAAGACTGCAGATGGCACTGTACACAGTATATGTTTTGAGAGGTGATATCCAGCATCAAGATTTTTAATAATATATTAAGATATTAACTTAACATTAATACTGTTTTTTGTATATTTTAAAAAGATCAGAAAAGGTGTCTCTGTGTAAAATATTTCAAAAAAAATTTTTATCCGAGAAGAGTTAAAAATAAGAAAATTTAAATAGCTAAAAATAGTAATAAGAAACAGTGTTGCAATCATGTTTACCGTTACTGACGTTGCCACCTAGTGTAAATTACTGCAATCGGCGGTTCAGAGAGAGAGAGAGCAAACGCGAGAGTAGAGTTGCCAATTGTCTGCGCTGCGCCCACCCAACACAAATGCGGCTGTTTACATTTATTTGTGTTTGATACGTGAACGCGCATAGACGGAAAAATTCTAGTTCGGATCGCGCGTAGTGTTTTGTGATTTTGCCAGCAAAGGCAAAAAACAAAGTGTTCGGTATGCGTGTAAGAAAAAGAGTCAGTGCGTTTGGGTTTGTGTTTGTTTAGTGGCTGAAAGGAGAAGAGCCGCAAAAGAAAATGTTCAAAACGGCGACAAAAACAATAATTTTATAGTGGAAAAAAGGAAATAATATACAGTAAGTGTGTTTGTGCGTGAAGTGAATTTGTAATGAGGAAGTGCGTTTGCTGCATTGAAGTTGCAAAGCCAAAAGCAAAAAATAATTAATTTGAAAACAACAACAACACAGCTAAATGTGGCGCTGAGAATCTCTTTGTTTGTGGGTGCGTGTGTGTGTGCCTCCGTAATTGCGGGAGTGTAGCTCTACGTCGACGTCTGCACGCAGGTACATAGATACATGGCTTTGAATGGGTGTGTGTATGTGGCAGCAACAAGCAAATTTAGTGGCGACACCGTTGTGCAACAACAAAGTGTAAACAAAACAAAAAAACCAAACGCGCACACATGCATATACACACAGCTGATAAAGTGAAAATTGTATGGAAATACAAATTGTTTGCGCAAAAAAATTTAACTTCATACATGTACATACACATATACAGATGTCTGTAGGCATTGCAGTGTTTATAAACATGTGACCAGCAACATTGAATGTTTGCCCAAAAGTGTTAAGTCGACGTACGCCCACACTAACAAATGGATTTGAAGTGAAAAAAGCAGAAATAATAATTTTCTACAATAACAAAAAAAATATATATATAATTTTTAGACTATTTTTTATGTGAAAAAATATTATTTGCGCGCCTATTCTTCAATACTAATTGCTATGTTTCAATTATTATTTACAGTCGCTTACAATTAAACTAGTCCAAAAATTTTATATGCCGCGAACAGGGTATATCAAGTTTACCACGAACTTTTTAATATCCAGAACGTCGACGACTGTCTGTATATACGCGAATTAGTCCCTCAATTTTTGAGTTATCGATCTGAAATCTTGCCTACGTTCTATTCTCCCCAAAAAGCAGCTTATTTGTTAGAAACGCCGATATCGGACCACTATAGCATACAGCTGCCATGCAAACTGATCGTGCAAAATCAAATTCTAGCATGGGAAACTTTTTTATCTGTCCAAATATCTTCCCGAAATTCGGCGCAGATTATTGCCTAAGGCATCACAACAATCTCCGAAGAAATCGTTCAGATCGAACCACTATAGCATACAGCTCCCATACAAGCTGCTCGCTCGTTCAAAATCAAGATAAAGATAATTGTATACCCTTTTATGCTATAAGGAGTTCACCAATAAAGGGTATTATAGCTTTTGTGCAAGCAAAGTAACGTTTTTTCTTGTTCTATAATTTTTTTTAATCTTGCCGTGACGCCGTCAGATCCCATTAATAATTAACAACGAAATATGTATGTACGTAAGCATGTATATGAAATTTCACCGCACTCGTTTAGTTTAATAATTTGTTTTTATTTATTTCTTTTATGTGTTACCTTTGCTCTTGTTATACTGTACAGTTTTTCTTTTTCGCGCTCATTCCACATTTTTCGCCTTCAAACAAACTAACTCTGAAGTGTCTCTGTCTGCGTTTGCGTTTTTGTGACTGGTTTACCGCTCGCTGGCTGCTTGTTAGCTTATTGGCTCATTGTTAATTTTTAGCCAGTTTCTTAGTTTTTGTATACATATGTATTGTACATACCTAGCTATTGCTTTTGTTTCTGTTAATCGCAAACGTCCACACTTGCCTGTGACTTCGTTTTCGTACTAAATTGAAATTCCGAAAAATGTGAAACTCAAGTCCAAGAAATGTTAATACAAATGAAAGAAAGGTAAACAAGTAAGGAAGGGCTAAGTGCGGGTGGAACCGAACACTATATACTCTGGCAACTTGCAAGAATCACAGTCGAGGAAAATTCTTTTCGTATTTCAATAATATATCTAAAAGGTTGACCGATATTTTCGGTAAAAAGTTCGCAATAGAAACTGGCGTCCACATATTAGGTATCTGGTGGTTTGAATCGTTTTGGTCCTAATTGGAAAATGTTTGGTCATAAGGTGGCACACCTCAAAGGCACTATTCGTGCAAAGTTTTATCTGGATCCATTGATTGGTTCTTGAATTGTATACTGTAAAGTGAAAGAATTAGATAGAATTGAAAATTGTGTTATATGGGAAGTAGGCGTGGTTTTTATCTGATTTCGCACTGTAATGCAGGAATGTTAGAATAATATTACTTACCGAATTTTGATAAAAATCGGTCAAGTGGTCTCGTGATATAGGTTTTCACCTTAGTGTATTTCGATTAGTTTTAGGTGATACAAATAACCGTTAGGTGAACAAAACTATTACACTTTAGCAACATGTTGCAAGAGTATAAAAATAAAGAAAGTGTTTTTGGCTTAGTGCGTGCTTAGTCTATGTCTTGTCATTCTACGAAGAAAACAGGCAATAATAAAGCAAAACCGAAAAGTTAGCAATTAACGTTAAACCGTAGTATTTAATTGGATGTAACAGAAACCTGCGGAACCTCTTCTATCAACAGCTACCTATTTTAACTCCGAATTCAAGGGTTTCTATTTTAAATCCCAGCTGGACTGACGAACATTTTCATTTAAGAACATAAGAAACTGACTATTACAAGGTGTATCAAAATTAAGTGGTCTTATATCAAAGAGTTCAGGAGTGGCTGATAAAATCCCTCTACAGTACCGAAAACGCCGAGAATATTTTCGTCTGAGGTCCAATTTAAGCTTAGAACATCTAAACTTTTTATATATTGCATTTCTTCAAAACAGTGGCACCGATCTAGTATCAGTATTTTCTTTCGACCTTCTTCTATATTTGTCAGGTAATGATCGAAGGAATTTGAAGTGTATTTTTTTCACAATAATCCGTTTTTTGGGAAATCGCCTTATAGTTTCCGTAGTTCCATTGCCTTAGTTCAAATATTATCTTTAGTTTCTCATTGAAAAGATGTTCTTATTGATACTATTTCGGTGTTATTAACAGATGCAGAGGATTCCCAAATATACTTCATTTTTGGTAATGGTTGTTTTGGAGGCATCAGACTGGACTGAAAAGCAATATTAACTGCTATATACAAGTGCTTTCTATATTGTGACATCTGCTTTGATACCCAATACTGTGGCTAAAAATAATTCATATACTTGTATGTATCTTTGGATACGATTTGGCCTAAGATATTATCTTGGATTCAAGTTCAGGAATCTGAGACTAATGGTGTTTATTTTAAGTTGATTTCACATATGAAGTATGTAGAGGACTTTAGCCGCCTTTGAAACTGTCTGTTTCCTCAGAGTACTGTACACTGTATGTATGTATGTATGTATGTATGTGTAAAAACAACGAATATTTTTTTCACTTGGTACTTTGAAGAATAGCAGTGAATTTCCAACGAAACTGTGATTTTTCCATTTTAAAATGATTTTTTTTTTTCATTGAGTAGCCGTTAATATCTTTTAAACGGTTAGGTTTGCGAAAAAAATCGTAGAAGATCATTTTTTAGAGCATTCAATTTCATACAAAATCTATCAGACGAGATGTTTTTGCAACTAGTTGGAAGCAAGATATGAATTTCTCTATCAAATGATAAGAAAAAATCAACTGTAAAGCGGTGGATATTGGCGTTACAATTAAGAACTCATACTTGGAGAGATTTTCGTGGAGGTGTCTGACAAACTATTTTTTTTCAAACCGAAAAATATATTCATTTTTTTACCCACCCTAGCTAGCGTTGTACAAAATAAAATTTGTAAATGGAAACTTAGAGGGTAGAAAATACACATCCATTAGGGCTTTCATTTTTAAGAAAAGAATTTTATTTCTAAATTTAATAGCTTTCTGTACATACATATAAATAATATAGGTGTTCCGAAAACCCAATAAAGCGTTCATATACCTACTTTATGCAAGAACAAATTTTTCGAAAAGTTGAAAGGAATGTCTTTCTTTAATAAATCCAACAATTTCATGTAACGCCGGACAGGGCTAATTTCGACGAAAAACTGTGAAATCAACAGCCCTCGACTTCTCAGTCTGATTATAATTAATATTTATAAAGTGATGAAACTTCTAAATATTACCAAAAAAAATTACAAAAACAGTATTTTTTCTACTAAAAATTACTGAAATTTCGCAAAAGCACATTTGAAAATTTCCAAAATACAACAAAAAACGGAGCTGACCTGTTTTGGCGCAGCAGCCAACTTGTTGTAGCTACTTATAACTTAATTTTAAATAATTTTTTTTTATTGCCAACTTTACAATTTGCCCATCGCGCATTTTGCGGTTGTTGATGTTGTCAACGTTGTTGTTGTTATTTGTTGTTTTAAATAAAATTTAAAAATCTTGTCCCAAATTCAATGCTGGCTGGCAGCGGCGAGGAGGCAGGCAGCCGGAGGCAAAGGCAAGCGAGCGGGCAAACACGTTTTGCCAGATACTTCAAACCAAAACCGCTTCTCACCGGTAGGTAGGCAGCCACAAACACATACACACACCCACATGGGTAGTGAGCGCTCGTACAGCGAACAGCAACACAATAATAACAAAAACAGCGAAAAGCAATTCGACTTCAAAATATGCCGCTCACTACAACATAACTACTCAGCTTACTTCCACCAATGACACACACACACACACACTCATACATTTACACATATGCATGTATGTTTGACGTTCCGCCCAACAACGTGTCCCACTCACTCACTAATCTTACCTGCCTTTATTCAGCTCACACTTGGGCCGTCGGTTGGCAATTCGAATAAACAACAACAGACAATTGCATTGTACTTAGCATGCACCTATAGATTTACATATGAACCTACATACCATATATAACTACATATGTATGTATGTAAATGTTGTGCAGTGTGGTTATTGTCTCGTAGTATGGCATTTCTTGCTTTTAATATTAATTCTTATTAACTTGCATTTACATTTTTTGTTTTACTCACCACTGCCTGTGCCCGACATTCCAGTTTCCTCATGGTTTTGCTCTAGCCGTCTCTTAACGCTTTTGCCTCTTGTCTATCGAATCACTCGAGTGCGATCTATGTTGTTTCAAATATGTTTCATATATCCATTTTACGAGTTTTGCTATTGTGATTATTTACCTATGCTCGGAGCGTTCATGATATACTGGTTGTCAGCCGCTCGCAATATGGGTTCTCGGCCAAAAGCGATCATGCAAAACAGCAATTGTTGTGATGCCGATAACTGGTTTGCTCTGACTGACTGTCTGAATAATAATATCATAGTCTTTTTGTACATTTCGATATATATACATACATATACTCTAGATGGGAGGGTATAGTTTGTAGCAGAAATTTATTGTTTTGATTAGCCAAATATGTGGCAGAGTTTAATATACAATATTGCTGTCCCTTAGTAAAAATAATACTCGATATCGACACATCCTGACATAGTTGAGATAGTAATTTCGAATTTTCAAAATCAGCTGTTTTGCCAAAAGTACATTTAATTCGAATACTTTAATGGAAAATTGCTGAATATATGCGCAACACACACACAACATACACATGCACTATATAACAATCATTCATCAATCACGCACCCATTCATTCATTCCCATTTTCATTCCTCAACAAACCAAATCAGGTGTTTCTGCATCAATAACAACTCATACTAATCGAGGACGAAAGCCAAATTTTCTTTCATCCCAATAATCATAGAAACACGATTTTATCAGAAATAAAACGAACCGTAAAACTTTTATAGTAAATTAAACCAAAGTTTTTCCCTGCTTTCGTGACGTCACGAGCTAATAATTTTTTCTATAAAACATGCTCCAAAAAAGTAATAGGACGAAACTGTCGTCATCTCTATTTCTGTCATTCTGACTAAAATTTTTTTTTTTAAATTACCTGGGTAACCTTTATCGAATATAATTCAGAGTAACAAATATAAGGCGCTTTTCAGCGAATTTTTCTTTCGAATAAACAAATTTTAAATTTGTGTTTTGAATTGGACTGAGCGGACAGTGGTGCCAACTTTCCTTTATCACGTGATGTATTTTTCATAAGACTGTTCGAAATGTCAGGGCATAAGGTAAATATAATGTTCATGGTTTCTGATCTATAAAGTGATCTTTGAATGCATAAAGTTCACGTTAAAAGGAAAATATTGTTGAAGAAGGATTCAGTATCAAACCAGCCACTATTCGAGTCTACATAAATTCACAAAACGCAGAATTTTTTCTATCTCAGCTCATATCAGATTTTTGATTTGAAAATCACTTACTAATAGTATGTTTGCAGTTTATGATGACCATCAAAACTGTTCTTAATACAAGGGGTGTAAGACATTTTTTTGTGTATTAAAGTCTCGTATATTCCTGCCCTTTGCTAAAGCTTATTCCTGCTTTTCCTATTTCATTTGTCGATGAAAATAACAAGTCAATTCTAATATATTCTAATAACACTAAATCACGATTTTTGCCTATAAAATTATGACAGTTAATATCACTGCTAAACAAAATATTAATAAAAACCCAGCTTTACACATCTTAGATATAAATTTTCTAAATAAAAATGTCATGCCTGCGAAAACCAAACACTTCCAACCACTAATTAGCAGTATTAAAGTCAATTCTACAAATTATGAATATTTAAATAAATAATATTTCCGACTCGTAGCTTACGATTTCAGTGAGTGAAAACCAAGTTAACTTTGGCTACGATAAAATCGCAATTTTTATGCGAAAATAATTTTCGCCACTAATTAACAGAGCTACGCAAACTGCTAATTATCACACGATACATATAGACAGTGGCGAAAAACGCTTGTAAACAGTTACGAAGTAACACGGAACTTTCGAATTCTACCGAAATATTCCACAAATAATATTAATTGTTATTTGCATACCGGAGGCAAATAAAATCGTAGTTAATTTGCAGCTAATTGTCACTCACTTGATAGGGATTTTAGAATACTATTACTGCGTTATTTATGGGTTAAAGCTTACTGCAAAAATATGCAGTGATGTAGAAATATTAATACAGAGGTGCAGTCTACAGATATACCACAGTAAATATCAATATGAATATCATTTATTTTAAAAGTGGACAAAAACAAAGCAAAAAATAATAAAGTAAAGAGTGAAAGAGAGAAAGAGAGCGCGCACAGCTGAGCGCTTCTCTTGTATAGCAGTGATTTTGTTTGTATTTATTACTAACTTAACTGTCAGTTTGACTTTTATAGCCAAGTCAAGTGTCATTTGAGCGGTGAGTGACGCAAACTACGCTCTCTCTCGCCGAGCTGTGTGTTAGTGCTTCGCTTTAAAACAATTTGTTGCGCTGGCTAAGTGAGAGCGTCAACTGTTGATTTTTGGAGCGTCAGTAAAAGTGTTTTTAATTAAATGCGATTGTGACTTTTAATTTGGGCTTAAAACGGCGATACTGCATTTTAGTGGCGCCTAATCGAATTGTGGCAAACATTGCAATTAAGTGAAAAGTAATTGAAATTAAATATTTTATTGTGTGTATGTGCAATAACAAAACAAAATTGTTGTGCGATCAGTAAAATGAAGTTGATGAGCACGAGAGTGACTTGAATGAGAAGCCATAGGAATGCCACACACATACATACATACTTACTGCATGTAAGTGCAGTGTTGGCAGGAGAGTAAGAGAGTCACGCTCACGCTTAAGCTTGTGTTGGCTTAAAACTTGCACAGCTACTTAATTATTTCTACGCGACACAAACTAAGCTTTATTTACAAATTTTAATGCATTTCCACTTTTTTTTCCGCCAAACAGCAGCTGTCTAACGAATTTTACATATCAGTAATGTGAAAAAATATTCGAAAATTTTTATAAATACCAAATTACGTCAATAAATGAAAGAGAAAACTGCAAAATCATGCAACCGCTGCAATTCAAAACTCAAAAAAACTTTTATTTGGAAATAAAAGCAATTCGAAAAAGTAAAGTATAAACACACAAAGTTGCAAAACGCATTTTGCCACATAATAATTTCAACAAAAGAAATTCATAAATACGCAAAAAAAAAAATAGTAAAAAAGTGAAATTAATTATAACAAAAGCCAAAGCACCATAAAAGTGAGCAAAAAGATAGCAATAAAAAAGCAAACAAAAAAATCAAAATCACTTCCATTCAAAAGTAAATAAAAGTGACGGTTGTGCGTCTGCAAATGACAGCCAACCAAGTGAGCAGCGACTCGGCTGCCAAAAAGGCTGCTACACTACCAACAATAGCAACAACAACAATGATGCCAACACAAACGTCCACGATTAGTTGTGGAGTTGGCGCATCTAAAGCGAGTAACGAAACAACATTTCGAATACAAAAGCAAAATCAGCAACAACAACAACAGCAACAGCAAACAATGCAGACGACGTCATGCAGTAAGCAGCAGCCGAGCAAGCATGCACAACTACAACGAAACTTACTCATTGGATTAATTTTAACAGCATTTTGCGCACAGGTGAGCCGCCACGACGCATACACAAGCAATTTCTTATATACACATGCAAATATGTCTGTATGTTTATGAATTATAAAAATCATTATGTATGTACAGTGAACTAACGCTAAAGTGTCAACTTAAAATTGAAAAGTCCAAAAATTCTCAAAAAAAAAAATCAAACTTCGAAAAGTTGTCGTGCTTAATGAAGAATCACTTCTTAATTGCTTTTTAACTTTTGATAAAGTTATTATTTACTTTAGTTTTCTATGACAACCATGCATGGGTATATTTGAAACCAATGATAGTATCATATACGTATTAAAATTGAGATACATATGTATATAGTAAGTAGTTCCCAGTTCGGAAACATTATTGCAACAACAATACAACCTGATCAAAATTGACACGGACTGCCAAAGGAACAACTACATTTTCACGTATTTTTTCAATGAACTTTGCTTTTTTCGGACTCGGCTCATTTTTGGAGCGCTATTCACTAGATTTTTGGATAGTTGCGACGTTTCGTCACCAGTAATGATGCGACGTCGTTATTGCAAATAATTCGATTTATTTGGTGTGAGTCTAGCATTGACACTCTTCATACCCAAAACATAACCAAAAATGAGTTCAGTCGATTCATAAGAGATGTTAAGATGCTCTGCTATCTATCTGTTGCCAACACAATGATTTTCAACAGCTGTTAACCTTTTCGCTGTGATTGACATTAACAGAGTTGGATAGACGACTCGCATGAGTTTTTGATGACTTCACGATCTTTACTGTATGCTTTGTGCCACTCCAATTTGTCTGTTTATGATAATTACACACTCTCCAAAACACTGCTGCAATATTTTTTTAGTATTTCTTAGCCGTGATTCTATTGGAGACACAAAATATGAAGTAAACTCGTTGTTAATTTTTTTTTCATTGTAAAAATCGCCAAACACATTCTTCGCGTAAGTAGCCAGTCCGGGTCAAATTTGATCATTGTATAAGTGACACTATTTCTCTATAATACTCTGAACAGGACAAATTAAGTTTGCCACGAAGTTTGTAACACCCAGAAGGAAACTCGGAGGCTCTATAAATTATTGTATATATGCATACCCACGTCCTTTTCTAATCAGGAAGCTGCTCATTTGTCGGCACCACCGAGTGCCGTGCACGTTGATTATGAATCAAGTTTTTGTATGGAAAACTTTTTTATTTGACAAGATGTCTTCAAGAATTTTGGCACGGTTTATTACTGCAGTCAATGCTAAAATCACCGAAGATATTGTTCGGATCGTACACTATAGCATATAGGTGGCTAAGGCAAGATTTTTTCATACACTCTTATGCTATGGACATTGTGAAAATTATTACAGCACAAAATATTAGCGAAGCTTTAATAGTGTTTATACAAATTTCTCCAAGCTCCCATAACAATCGAACAGTGTAGCAACGCCGTTCTTAGACTAAATCACATTTTCAGTTACGACATACATAATTACATAGGTATATCTTTGTGTTCAAAAATAGAGTTATATTTACTAATTTCTACCAGATTTCGCTTTTTTATTTAATTTGCGTACACCATTTATTAAAAATAAAGTAATCGCCATTCTATTTGCCACACAAAATCAAAAGCTCCATTTAATAGTCAAGTGTTTTGTTTTCCTGCTTTTTATTTTATTTTTATGCTTGTTAACTCGCTTTGCAACATTTTGCCCTCCCAAAAATATTTTAGCGGAATTCATGCGCCACTTTAATTTTTTCAAGGTCTTTCCCCATTCAACTCTCTCTCAAGTTGAGATCTTTTGTGTCGTTTTTACAATCTCAAATATTTATTTTAATTTTGTGTTTGAATTTAAAACTTGAAAGGCAACATTTGAGGCGTTAATTGTAACTGTTGTTGCACTTGTTGCAGGTTTATGTAATAAAAGAAAAAATGATTAGTTGCCACCTCAAAAAGTTGTACCGAGTTGCCGTATGTAATTGGGTGCAGTTAAGTAAGCGGGTGAGGGACTGAAAGTTGGACTTACATTCGTATGAGTAAATGTTTTTTGAAGTTGTATACCTAAGCCTTATCACCCTTTCTCTTTTTAATTGAGTTACGACAGCTTCGCATGTGAAGACGTTATATTTGACAAAGGCTTAATTTAGTTCGTAAAAGTTACGATTTTTGTACATATGGGTATCTCTTTATATCTTCAAACATATGTTTGTATTTTATTTTTATTTGTAAACACAAATTTCTTGTTATGTAATTCTCTTTTATTATAATTTTCCATTTAATTGGTCTTAAATTGAGTATAAAATTACATTATAATAGACAATGACACATTTGCGCCACTCGTGACAGCCTGTCACAATGTCATCTGACCATCAAATGTCACCCGCCAGCAAATCAACATACAGCAGTGTTCCAACGCGACTAAGTTCGCGAGCTGAGTGAAAAGGAAAGACATGCGAGAATATAAAAAAACATTCAGCTAATGATTTTGAACAATTTTGTGATGCGTACTTGGATTTCTATTAAAAATCGACCAACTATTTTGAATCAAGTTAAAACATTCGAATCTAAGGTATTGTTGAAGATTAAATGTAACTTCGAGTCTTGAATAATTTTAAAATAAGCTAAATTATTACCATTCACCTGAAACGGTTTTTATATAAAAAAAAATCTTTTCGTATTTTTTTTGCTAACTAGTTTGTTAGAAAAACCTAAAAAAGATTACACATTTGTTAGGGTCATAAGTGCTCAAAAAATTCGAAGTACTCGATACACACTAGAACTGAAAAGCTTTTAAAAGAACTCAGATATTAAATAAAACTTGAAAATACCCATTAGGTGCTGAAAAAACTATACCAAACATGAAATAATATTTGACTCATCGTATTACAATAGGGTAGGAGGAGTCTTCATGACGTTTCCACAATTGTTGGAACTACGTAACTGCTTTTATATTCTACCCAGCATTGTCAACTCTATAGCAATCGTAAACTTCTTTATTTGGAAATGATTTCGTTCACTGCAATAACAGCAAGAACAGTGGTCTTCAGAGATGCTACTTTTATTTCAACCTAACACAACTTTACTTCACAAGTGAATAACGACTTTTTACCTCTAAACATGTCTGTATTTCACGATTTAATGGTTCTGAAACATAGCCGATACCCGAAGGATTATATTCTCCAAACGTACCCGATAGTTTTCAACACTAACACTTACTGCTTGGTTTGTAGAGGGAATATAAATTGATCTCTGCAATTTGAGTTTGTTGTCGACAAAGTGGTAAAGTGTGACATCATAACACCATTCTCACATTAGCTACACACACCCACATATACAATACCATGTAAAATTATGGGTACAAATTAAAGGCACATGAGAAACAAAAAAATTAATGGCATGGAATTATGCTGGTAATAAATGCCTTACTAGTGCCAGCACGCATAAAGAAATGTACCTACATGAAATTTTTAAACACACAACAAAGATATACTACATATTTGAATACATAGGTATTTTTTTGAAAAAAAAACTTGCTACCCGCCAAGCGAAGTTTCAGCCATTGTGTGGCAATTTAATTGCCATGAGCAATAAGTTTTGGCGTTGCTCTTCTTTCGTGGTGAAATTTTTCACTTTTATACTTTAGCTATTTCTTCTAGTCGGCGTTTTTATGTTTTTATATGCAAGCTAAGTATGTATTGTCTCTTATGTGCTTTTACGTTTTCTCTAGGCTTCGGTTTAAATCCCCCTCAAACAATAATTTACATAAAACAACAAATAGTGAAACTCTCGGGTAGTTCTGCATAAATATAACACTACTTTTATACATATTTTTTTATGCATATATATTTATATGCATGTTACCTATTTACCAAAGCGCGGCAGAGTTCTCACCAATTGTCAGACATTTCGTTCAATACATCTGACATTTACCGTTATTATGTATGAACATTGTATGTATATGAATATTTTCACAGAAATTACCGACTAATCTAAAAATAAATTAGTAAATTTTCATATGTACACATACATACATACATACATATATAATATCTATTAAGAGTTCATAACTTTCGCCTTAATATGAAAAAAAGTTTGAACTTTCGAGGCAATGGAAACTAAGTGCAAACAATAAAAATATAATTTGCTACAAAAGAAAGTTAATGGCAGCAAAAACTAGTATTGAAAAAAAGTAATTTTAAGCGCTTAAAATCACTGTATGTGACATTCGTGCTGCCACTTACTATGTTTACAAATTGATCTTGAAAGGAAAATGCTAACAACTTCAAGCACTCACGGTTATCTTGAATATCATCACTTAGAAAGCTAAACCTTAAATTATTAAATAAAAAACTCTCAAAAATGATTTCTTTAATACTAAGCTATGCTCACTAATTGGCACTATGCTTCAAGCGGAGTTAAAGTAAATACTATGGTATACTCGTATATGTATATATACTCACACTTATCTGAAAAATGTGAATCTATTGATGAAAAATGTTAAAACTTAAAATATTTAGCATAAGTCTTACTAGACGTAAATAAGTACGAAAAATTTAGCTTTGTAATTTTAATTTACTTATTTATGTTATTAACACTATGCGTGCTTTTTGACATACTTACGTAATTGGGTGTTAGCATATCTGATGAAGCGGTTACACATCTGAGGCGTCGAAACGCATGCTACTAAAACGCCTGTTTGATTAAATTATTTGAAAACTACGCATAGTTCATTTACACTTTCATTCATACAGTTACAGTGTGTTAAATAAGTAATGGTACAGCTTTTACAAGTTTTCTGACTAAAGCACTAAATATTATATAAAATATGGCTCTTAAGCAGTTGCTTAAATTTATTTATAAATATTATGTCATTCTCAAAAGTCTACGCAGCTTTCATTAACAGAATATTAACTAATATATTATTGCAAGCATTTTATTATTGATTTCACGGTTTCTCTTGAAGTTTTGGAAATTTACTTCTCTCCATAGAAAGTCTCATGACATTCAGCGCACTGAAAGA